CAAGTATGAATTTCTCAGGCCGATTTTTTGCATTATGAATACAAGCCTTTATATTTGCATCGTATATCTCACAACTTTTAATATCTGATAATGTAGACTTATCAATATTTTTCCCACAGTCATAACTTTTGGTAGAAATAGTAGTCTCATTGTTAATTTCACTCATATTATCACAGCTTACCATTGCACTAGTATTACCTAGAAATATTACAAGTTATTATATATTATTTATATTTATTATTTATGTTTATAATAATTGAAACTTATATGAAAATATTTGTATGTATATTTACCATAAGACAAGGCTGTATCAATATGATTTTAGAATTACATTGTCTTTTAGAATTGTCAGTCTTTTCATTCGCATTGCACCCTCACAAGTATCGGTTTCGTTAATATTTCTTGAATAAATGAATTAAATTTCAACAAAACATTTACTGAATTTCGCAATTGAGAAGTTTTCGTAAATAATAATGTTCTTAGTGGAGGTAAAAACTGTCATTTCCTTCTGACAATCAGTTTCTGAGGACATAACACTAGTTTCAGTGTTTTTAGAACTTTTTTCATCTAACATTGAAGATGTGGATTCAATATTTTTTCTATAATTATGATTTTTAGTAGAGATAGCAGTCTCAGTATTAATTTCACTCATATTATCATAGCTTACTATTGTGCTAGTATTATCTAAAAATATAATAAGAAATTAACTATTTATGATAACATTACAATAATTGTATCTTATAAAAATATTTATAATTAATGTGCATTTACTGTAAGATATAATTACGTCAATTTGATTTTTAGAATTACATTTCTTAGAGTTATAAGTCTTTTTATTTCTATTTGTATCATCACAGTTACCTGTTTCTCTCTCATTAGCATCTCCTGAAAAAATATATTACATTTTATTACAACATTTATTAAATTTCGCAATTCAGAAGTTGTAAATAAGTATGTGTGTGTGTTCATACTAGTAGAGGTAGTAAAAATAATCATTTCCTTTTGACAATCAGTCTCTGAGAATTCCATATTAGTTTCAACGTTCTTATCACTTCTTTTATCTGATAATGTAGACTTATCAATATTTTTCCCATAATCATGACTTTTAGTAGAAATAGCAGTTTCATTGTTAATTTCACTCATATTACCACAGTTTACCATTGCACTAGTATTACCTAGAAATATTACAAGTTATTATATACTACTTATGTTTATAATAGTTGAAACTTATATGAAAATATTTATATTATATG